AAAATGAAGAAATCGTCGTACCTTTTGTGATTTAGGTCTCCCGCGGAGACCTACGGGAGACCTCAGGTCTCCGATTAGCAAATACTTTTTTGTTTCTCATAATTTTGCTTTCCCTATAGCAAACCTTTTTGTGCATTCTTTAACTTAACTTATAGCGCAATAAAAGATCAAAGCACTTTCTCCCTTCTTTTCTAGGGCCCTAAATTGTTTTACCTTAATGGAAAAAACGCGCTCCAAGTATGCGGCACGCTTGTCCTTATTGCACGCGTTTGTACAGGTTACAAAGGGGGCTTCGTAATTTCCTGGATTTTCAAGCGGGTGTTCGTTCTCATGAGGTTCAATCGAAGACCTCTTGCCGATGCTGGTAATTTACACTATTTCTTATCGTCCTTCCACTCTTGAGCTTGCAGTTTGAAACTGAGCCCTTCAGCAGTATTGCACTGCGTATGAGGTATACATGTGTGTTTTTAATGCGCTAATTTGTCTAAAGCACTAATCAAAGATTAAAATTCTGAACAGGAAATTAGATTTAGAGATATGTGTAGGGGTGTTTTCTATACTGAGCAGGGAGGATTTCCCAATTAACCATGAGCATTTTCTAATCAGGACTTACCGCCGCTTTTGAATTTTGTGATAAGGATCTTACCATATTCATGGTAAAAGTCAAAATCTTTCGCGGAAGGAGCGAAACCGCTTTATGATGACAATCCTCCAGGTCCAAGTGAGTAGTGTAGCGAATTTCGGATACTTTTATAAGGTTGAAAATTTCAGAAAATTATACTGGAGTTTAGGGCAGGGATATGAAGCATACTTTGCAGCTCACTATGTTTTGCTGACAAAGTGGTCGCTCTTCAAATTTCGAAAACCTGTTGCGGTAGATGGATAGACTTTAGCTTCAGCTATTCCTTGCTATTTTACAGACGCTGATCATGACTGCATATCGTTCTACATCTAAACTATATTCAACAAAAAAGCTTATCCTTTTCCAATTGCATGCTGAAAGCTGTCAATATATAGGTGGGTTCTTTATATTTAGCATTGATTATTTTTAGGAATAGCTCACTCAGGCCGTGAATGTTCCTGTCGAGCTGGATGCTGTGGTTGTGACTGTCGGTAGTCCTGTTGCTGTCTGGCATCTTGTTCTTGTGGCATGTAGTCCTGCTGCTGTCTTGAATCTTGTCCTTGTGGCCTGTAGTCCTGCTGCTGTCTCGCATCTTGTTCTTGTGGCCTATAGTCCTGCTGCTGTCTCGAATCTTGTCCTTGTGACCTGTGATCCTGCTGCTGTCTCGAATCTTGTCCTTGTGACCTGTGATTCTGCTGCTGTCTCGAATCTTGTCCTTGTGACCTATAATCCTGCTGCTGTCTCGAATCTTGTCCTTGTGGCCCATATTCCTGTTGTTGTCTCGAATCTTGTCCTTGTGGCCTATAGTCCTGCTGCTGTCTCGCATCTTGT